ACAACACTTCACATATCCCCACAAAAATAAGTCTAAAGGGGAGAGGTCCAGGGACCTGGGGGGCAGCGATCGGGAAAAGTACAACAATGTATTACAAACTGACTTTCGAATACAGTCCGACTTCATAAGAAACCCACAAACTCGTAAAAACTGTTACAGAATTTTTTGTAAGTACTCGCCGCGATAAAGTAGATGTATTTCAGCAGTTCCAAAACAGCTTTAAACACATTTTTAATTAGCTTATTTCTCTATGACCTTAAACTTCCGATACAAGTTTGTGACAGCAGCTCACTCAGTTTTTGCTCCTTTTTCACCCCTTTACATTTTTGACATAAGTCCATTAACACCCTTTATAATGCAAGACAGCATCTAATAATTTTAGACTATGAAAATTTCTAAATTGGAACAAATCTGAATTAAATCATGCTAACAATAGCTTATTGTAACAGCCACTTTTATGATATCTACCACTTAATCGAAAAGCTAGACATAAAAAAAATCTGTATAGAATCGATTAAGTTTATATAAACGTTATACAAACCCAAACCAGCGAACAGTATTGAGTTTAGAGCGGACACACATTACTATCATGAAAGTCACGACCTAGTTTTATCACAAATCTGAATGTCTTCAGATTTGAAGATACTAAATTCTGAATGTGATTTGAGAAAGTCAATTTACTGTCAAAGTAAACTCCCAAATCTTTTAACCTGCAAGTCCGCGTCAATATGTCTGAAACAATTTCATAACTGAATAAACCACTTTGCATTTATATGTACACTCTTCCACTAGGTACCCTATTTAACTGACCCTGAGGTTGAACACAATCGTCAACACTTGACACAAACGAAGCAAATTTAAAGTATCTGTATATATCTATAGCAACTCACAAAGGTAGTAATGCTGATAATAAAAATGGAAGAGAAGAGGGTCCAGATAAGAACCCTGGGGTACTCCAGAAGTAATAACATAACGGTTAGATGCAAATACATTGGCGATCATTTATAAGAATGAATAACATCTCCAGTATAAGACAGGTACTTTACATGCATACTTGACAATTTCTTCATTGACAGTTTGATTGTTCTAAATTATTCCTGTATCCTGTCACTGACATCTAAAAAATTAGCAAACGACCTATTGTCGCCATATTTAAAACCGCGATACGTATGCACAACACAAGTCAATATTTCACTACTCAATAAATATTTATAACGTGAGATTACGCCCATTACCATATAACAAAAACTTTGCTCTAAAAAATCTGGGAAGATTTATCATTATAACAGTCTCACAATAGATGATAAACATGAATTGTGATTGCAAAATCCTCGATCAAATTCTGACACAGAGTGATAAATGTAAGGTATTTCATCGATTACCCCCCATCAACGACGCCATCCGAAATACCTCTGCACACGCGAACACTCAAACAACGTTAAATCATCCGCTACGGCACATCTGATGTTCGGTAATGCATGTTTGTACTTTATAGAGGGTGAACAACATGTCAACTCTAATTCGACACTGTACAACCTATAAATATATGTTTAGGACCTATAAATATATATTTACGTTCTTGGTAAATAAACATTTTTTTATTTGCATAAAGGACGTATGATTTCGTATTTTACCATGGTTTGTTGACAAGCAGCTTTAGATATGTCACTTTGGGATTACGTTAGGGACATAATCTGGCTGGTCGTATTAACACATCAGATGTCTAGTGGTACAGAACAGTTATGACATTGTTGAATTGGACTGCTTTCTACCAGAAGCAGACTTGGAAGTTATTAACGAAAATGTTGTTATTCTTACGGCTTATCATCCGTTTAATCATAAATAGCTATTTATGTACACAGTAATAGAAAAAAAATGTAAGAAATGGCGAATATTTCTAAATTCTTAGTCGTGTTCAAGCGCTTTGACACTGTCGTTTTAAAATGTCTTTTTTTCTAAAAGTTCGAGGTTTGCATACATTTAAAAGGCTATAGAACCCGTAAAAGCAAAAAGAAAAGTTTGAATTTGTATGATTTAATGATTCGAGTGTTAAAGTTAATTTTTTTTTCAAATATATCAAAATTAATTTGTCCGATTTTGATAAAAGATACATAATTTGACGTAATTGTTACAGGGGCCTTACTAGATATTTTTAAGAAAAATTTGATAATGTTCTTAGATTGATTAATTAATAGTTATTTATTGTAGCCTGCTTATTTTTCGAGAAAAAAATAAAATTCGCTTATTCCCTGGAAATAATCTTAATTTCATTAATAAAATGAAATCGTAATCCTTTTGTCGAAAGAGTTGAATTCATTAATTTAATTAATTTTTAAATTTTGCACAGGTGGCAAAATTATTAATGTAGATATGATTCTATATCATTGTCGCTACTTTACGCAAAAAAAAATAAATTTGTATAAATTAGTTGTATAAAAATTAAAGCTGTATGAAATTCCTTCTGAATCAGGATTTCTCATATTTATGAGATGTATTGAATTTTCGAGCACATATTAATCGAAACAAATATCTGCGAGGTAGTGCCAAAATTGATTTCATCTTTCTCTCTCTCCTTCATTCTGGATATTAAGAGGGGACCGAGAACTTATTATTTTTAGTTAGTCAGGCATACCTTTGTCTTAATGAGAATTTCACACTTCATTTATTTTTCTATTATATTTGAATAAAGTGCTCCTCCATAATCTTTAATATTTTCAGTATTTTAGTTAATCAATAAGTATATTAACGAATTTTTTTGGCAATGGACCTCACACGAACCATGTTTTGTCAGTATTCTATTAGGTTTTGTTTTATAAGCGGCTGATGACGAAAATCAACAGCCCACAAATTTTATTAACACCACACAAAGTACAAGATAAACTACTTCTTTTATATTTTAACAGTAAATTCAAAGGTACCTACCACTATGTAACATCTTGGGTTTTCAATTTGGTATACAAATTAGTAGGTAATATAAACTTTTTTGTGGACGATAAAGAAGAAAAAAGAATTAGAATTATAATTTATCATGTGAAATGTTATGGAATTGGTAATGTCTTATATCGACATGCAATACAAATTTTTAATGAAAAGTATCCCAATTAAAAAGATAAAAAAAGAATACAATGATGCTGCTATTGTCGTAGTTATGGACTCTGTACATAACAATCCAAAGATTCAGGAAAAAGTCAGAAAACATAGACCTAAAAAAGCTTTTATGAAGTCTGGACCCATACACATATTATCTTTAATTCTTTTAGCAGTAAATACATCTGATTCCGAAATGTGGAGTTTGTTCAGGATGTTAATATTTTCACTAAACAGAATTATTAATTGTTTTACAAGCGTTCGAGAAGAAAGTAGCAAATGTATTCACAATATCTCGAGGGTCACTTTCAGTTTTTCGAAAATTTTCGAAAGTCACCCTTATTTAGGGGTTGAAAAGACAAAAAAGTGAACAAATTAAGAATCATCAACAGTTGTAAAACCCCAAATATTTCTATGTTGTTATCAAAATAATATTATGAACGTGAAAATATCTAATTTCGTATTTGATACGGATTGAGAATCAACCCTTAATATCCCTAAAGGGGTGAAATCATCCCCTAAACGCCTAAAAATGCAAAAAATATATTAAAAGTTACAATTTTCTTTCTTTTTCTTTTATACGTGATAATTGAACCGTTAATAACCCACAATCACTAGATCCGAAGGAAAATACCCTTAAATGAGGGTAAAACCCCTAAAGTTCAATCATCGGCTTCAAGCTACATAAAATAATTATAATGCATGAAAAAAATAATGTTTCTAAATACATTCATTAGAATAATTTATACACAAGTACTCCCGTACATTATCAATCATTTTCACAAATAATCATCCCTCTCAAGGGGTAAAATCATCCCCCAAATATACAAAAATTGTGAAGAATGTGAAAAAAAAATCAATTTCTGTGTATAAATTGGTCCAACTTATATACCTACTTCAAAACGTGAATTTTTTTGTGCACAATGATTAAATTGTGTTCCTTGTAACGGATAATTATTGTATTTAGGGGTGGTTTACCCTACTTTGGGGGTGTGTTCCATCTGATGTGACAATTAGAAGTTATTCATGGGTATGATAATAATAAAAAAAATGTTTTATTTATTTTTCACATTATTTACAATTTTTATATATTTGGGATGATTTTACCCCTTGAGAGGGATGATTATTTTTGAAAATGATTGATAATGTATGGGAGAGTACTTGTATATAAATTATTCTAATGAATGTATTTCGAAACATTATTTTTTTCATGCATTATAATTATTTCATGTACTTTGATGTCGATGGTTGAACTTCGGGGTGGTTCTACCCTCATTTAGGGGTATTTCCGTTCGGATCTAGTGATTCTGGGTTATTACCTGTTCAATTATCATGTATAAAAGAAAAAGAAAAAAAAATAACTTTTAATATATTATTTGCATTTTTAGGCGTTTAGGGGATGATTTCACCCCTTTAGGGATATTATGGGTTGATTTTCAATACGGACAGGACCGTATCAAATACGTAATTAGATATTTTCACGTTCATAATATTATTTTGATAACAATATAGAAATATTTGGGGTTTTACAACTGTTGATTCTTAATTTGTTCACTTTTTTTGTCTTTGCAGCCCCTAAATAGGGGTCGAAAATTTTCGAAAAACTGAAAGTGATGCTCATTTTCATTTTTCATGACCAGTATTTGGATATTTTTAGAATATTTTTAGGATTTTCCCTGTCGCCTCTGTCAAAGTCTCAAAAACAGACGGAAAAATGGCTTTTTTGCGGTTACTCTTTCACATTTCGAAATTTTTGGACACCCTGTATGTTTTATTATATATTTGATTACTGCCCATGGCTTCGCGAGACAGGCAAAACTTTTTATCAAGACTATACAGCTTTTATTAGCGTATATCGGAAATTTACAGAAATTGGGACAATTTTTTTGGAAAAAATCAAGAGATACACATACCTGCGACTTGCAGGGTAGCATTTCTGCTGGTGGCGGTACCGGCGACGTTCTTGGCGATGCACCAATAAACGCCCGCATCTTGCTCCTTTTTACTGTTCATCGTTCTGAGAAAAAAGAGCGATCCCGCCGGCAGAAGGACCCGATGAGATTTGTTGTCGGTCGGTGAAGTCCGTACGAGTTCACCATCCTTAAACCATTCTATTGTTGGCTCCGGCCTGCCCTCCGCCTTACAATTCAGGGTAACTGGTTCATTCTTCGCCACGATTATATCTGATGGGTGTTCTGTGATACGGGGAGATCGGTATTGGCCTGAAAAGAAATAAATAATCTATTGAGTGCCGAAGGAAACCTTAAATCTCGTTCGAGAAATGTATTACCCGAACTAAATTAGTTTCTTTCACGACAAAGCCGGACGTAAAAAGTTTTTAATGAAGTTTTGGGTCGTGGAACGGGAAAAATTTGCCGTGACACGTATATTTATAAGTTCCGCGTTATTCGAGGGAAATGATACGTTTGGAGTTTTAAACTTTAAATCGACAATTATTCAGTTCTCATTTTAATAATTTACCTACTTCTGTTCCCTCGAATGTTTGTTAATAAGTTTTTAGTAACGGTTCGTGGAAATGAATCAATATTTATTTATTTTGAATTATGTACATGCTTCTTGTAGATAATTTTTTTTAGAATCGGCTTTAGGGAAAATTTATATTTTCATAAAATAAAATAGAGTATGAATGATATTTAGATTAAGTTTGATACAAAAAAAAAATGTTCAAGTTGTACTAAATATAAGTTTATAGTAAAAAATGAAACAGAAAAACATTTTGAGGGAACTTATGGATTCTACGTCAATTTTTAGGTGAACTTTCATAAAGTTTCCTATTTTTAAAGTTAGCCGTTTTTGATGTATTTAATTTTTTTCAAAAAAACATTAAAAAAGCACTGCCTAATTCAAAAAGTTGTGTATCTTACAATAATAAAGTTAGAGCTATAAAATATATAGGGGACATAACTAAAACTCTAAGCTTCCCTGCCATAATTTCAAAATCACATAATTTCATACAGGGTGGTAGAAATTTAATGCCGAAATTAGGCAACTTTAAACCTTCTTAACTTATTTTTTCTAACATCCTGTATATTTTTACTCAACCTGTTATACAATTTTGTTCTCTTTCGAATAGTGTAATGGTTCCTTGTATCTATCTCTTCTGTTAAGGTATTTACTGTTTTTCGTACAGTCAACGGACATTTTCTTGCGACGATGGCTGTGAAATTTTTATAGGCCACGAAAAAGAGCTGGGAAATTACCATTTCGCGACTTTTTGTTTCGGCAAGCTGAATTTATCGCTATAGATGCTAAATATTATGTACAATAACATATTAGTTTCCAGTCATAAAAATGGGGGGAAGATTGTTTACAGGCTGGTGAATTTTATAATTTTTACGTAAATTCACGTTTTTCTCTTATAACTTTTTCCGTTCATTTCCACGGAAAAATAGTAATGTACTTTTTTCATCTTTAAAAGACCTACAAAACTAGCCCTCGAGCGTAAAAAAATATTGATTAGATAAAATGTTATAAATAGAAGAAGTTTATTTATGACTTTTGATTAAACATTTATAACTGCGAAATTATTACCAGAACGTTTTGGTATCGCATCCTCTCATTCCTTGCCACTCTCTAATAACTCACACGAAATCTGGAATCGTTAAGTTGAATAGTTTACAAGTTATGGCCTTATAAACAAATTAACTAATTATTAGTCTGGACGATCCCGAGCGTCTTCCACAATCGCACTGATTTTTTTCATGTTAGATTTCATAATAATACATTGAAATATATATATTTTTTAATTTCAAATTTGCAACATGGAATTTTTTTTATTTCTTTAGCGCGTGCGTATTACATATTCGGAAAGCTTATGAAAAGAGCTTTATGTTAAAAAAAAAATCGTCATGATTCGTTAAAAACCAACGGAGTTACAGACTGAAATATATTATTTTCAAGCGAATTTCGCTTTTTTAACGGCAGGACTATAAATATTATCGTCATGCGCGTGTGTCGTATATTTCATTTTGCAACTAAGGCTAAAAAATAAAAAAAAATTCCAGGTTGCATTTTTGAAATTTAAAAAAAATTATAGATTTCAATGTATTATTAAGAAGTCTACCATGAAAAGAATCAGTGCGATTGTGGAAGATGCTCGGGATCGTCCAGACTAATAATTACCGATTACAGATTTCGTGTGAGTTATTAGACTGTGATAAGGAATGAGAGGATGTGATGCCAAAACGTTCTGGTAATAATAACGTAATTTATAAATGTTTAATTCAAAAGTCATAAATAAATTTCTTCTGTTTATAACTTTTGATCTAATCAATATTTTTTGACGCTCGAGGGCTCGTTTTGTAGATCTTTTGAAGACAAAAAAAAAAGTATTGTACCGTTTTCTCGTAGAAATGAAGGGAAAAAACGTGAATTTACTTAAAAATTATACAATTAACCACCCTGTAAACAATCTTCCCCCCATTTTTATGACTGTGGAAACTAATATATTATTGTATATTACGTTTAGCATCTATAGTGATAAATTCAGCTTGCCGAAACAAAAATTCGCGTCCAACTCTATATTTCCTGGCCTATTTAGTGGAACTTCAAAACAAGCACCTAATCTGTCACCAGTTTATTGTTGTCAATTTAACACATACAGTGAATGTTTATTTGAATATTATTTATTGTTAAAAAATGGTTAACTTTTATTCAAATGCTGACATTCCAAATTTATTATTTATTCATGGAGAGTGTCACAATATAATAAATCGGATTAACTTTATTATTGTAAATCACACATTTTTTTTAATTAGGCAGCAATAAAAAATTTAAATACATATATCAAAAACTGTTAATTTTAAGAATAGGAAACCTTTATGAAAGGTCACCTAAAAATTGACGTAGAATCCAAAATTGCAATAATATACAGGGTGTTCCATTTAAAATAACGAAGATGACGTCAACTTCCGGTATACGGTTATACATTTACGCCACAAGTTGGTACTACTAGGCATATCCACAAAGTAAGAGTACTACTAAGACTCTGATGCTCTGTGGTTTCGACAAATTTCGCAACACTGCATTCAAGGCTAATATGTTAGAGGCAGAAATCCCGTTCATTTGTCTCAGTCAGTTGAGAACTGTTGTTGTAGTGGCGTGTTGAAGTAAGTGCTACTATTCCTAATCCCGTCAGATGCAAGGTGAGGAGCGTAATCCTGTTTCTTCTTGCAAAGGGAAAGGTGCCCTTCCAGATTTTTAACGAAATCATGCAAAACTACTTATGAGAATGGAAATAATAATTGTTGTAGAACTCGTTACTTAATTACTTACTCGACCTGTTTGTTCATGTTTTTTTATTATTTAGTTTAGATATTTTTTCCAGAAATAAAATTATTTCTACCAAAAGCCGCAAATTTAATATTTCATCAAATAAAAGGCTTAATTTATAAGAAATATCCAATAAAACGTATAAACGAGCCCAAACATCTCCTAAACGGCTGCTACTATTAAAAAATAGAAGAAATATTTTTAATTCAATTAACGTACCTGTAACATTAATTCTACAAACAATCGCCAGTGGCGTATTTTTTTTTTCTTGGAAAAATGGGGCGGCATTATGAAGACATGACAGAACATATATATTTTTTGTAAACTTTAACACCCTGTGTCTAGAGTACCGCATTTTTATCTACCAAAAATATGTTTATTAAAAACAACCCTTGATCTTTCCAGCTTGAGCATTTACTTTTCTAATTTGCAAAATACACAAAAATTTAAGAAACACCACAAATAAGTACTTCATGTCACTAAGACCTCTAAAATAAAACTGACGCACCCTGTAGATATGAACATTCAAGTCTGTAAATAGCTGAAATGTAATGATCTAACAAATTGAGTACGCCGCATCCGGGAATAACTATTATCCGGTTAAAACAATGTATTGCTACATTCAATTATGGGCAGCATGGCTTAAAGCAAAAAAGGCGATAAATGATTAAATTGTCGTGTAGGAAAGGATGCCAGTAAAACAAATTCATTGTGTTATTATCGCATTTATAACGGCAATCAATGACTTGCACTGCTGACCGTCGCAACAGAAGCATAACTGAAATAATTTATTATTCCGGCAGTTGCAACGAGTCCGAGCAATTCGTTAGCAACAGAACATTTGAAGAATAATAATTAGTTATTATTTTATGTGTATGTATGACTTGTATGAGTGCCATTAATAGCTCCGAGCGTGCTGTTATGATTTATGCGGATAAGCATTGGTCTAAATCTCGGAATCATAAATCGATCAATGAATATATTGTATTAGAAAATAGATTGTTAGCTACAAATACTTAGAGAGAAGCAATTAAATAAAAGTCTCAGATAAAATATATTAATACTGTTTGTAGTCATAGAACAAACGGATCAGTTTAAATATATTTCAGTTTAGAAATACAGGGATGGCCAGAAGTACGGAATAAAATTCATATCTTTTGAATGAGTACATTTTTTTTAAAACGCCGAAACAGGTTAACTGATTTTGATTTTTTTCCATCTTTCGGTTATATAATAATTAATTTTTCTTCAACCCCCTAACCCCCAGCTACCTCTACTTTTTTTTTCAAATGGAAACATAAGGCATGAGGGGGCTCGTTGAAAAGCTTATAGAAAACTGAATCCAGCCATACCAAATAAACAAGTTTTATTTTTTCAATAGCAAGGTTTTTAGGGTTGTATAAAACATCTACTTAACAAGTGAAATAAAATTGAATTATCTCCAGTGTTATCCTCCAAGAATTTGCACAAAATAAAATAAAGAATTTGAAACTGTACCTATCACTGCTAACGCAAAAAAGATAGATAGTTTTTATGTTGCGTTTTTTTGGTACCAATTACTTGCCAGGTTTTCTGGTTAATTTTTCGCTTTAGTTGTAAATGGGAGTTTGAAACGTTACTATTGTGTCAAAATCAAGTTATTTACTGAATTGCAATGGTATTGTCGGAAAGGCAACGCATCGAAATCTTGATATTGCTTGGATGTGGAGACAAAATAAGAAGTCAGGCTGAAGTGCGAGATTTATTTAATGCGAAATATCCCGAAAACCAAATCTCGCAAGGGACAGTTAGTAAAATATTTCACAAATTTGAGGAACACGGTACAGTACAGACTTTGCCCAAAACTGGACGGGCACGTGCTTTGAATGAAGAAAAGAAATTAGACATTGTATTAGAACTTGTTGAAAATCCTCATACTTCAACTGTTTCA